AAAGTTATCTTTCAAGTTTGACAGAGCAGAGGGACACTTCAAGAGCAAGCTAAAGCCATCCATAATCGCTAAGGCAACATCACAGAAGACGTTCAGCAAGTCACGGAAAGAAAGTCAAGCCAGGGAAGCAGCAAAGAATGAATTTCCTGGGAGTGAAAGATGAACAAAAAAAAAAAAAAAACGAAGAAAGAATTAATCATGTCCAACACACTAAATCAGCAAAAACCTTCTTATGGATGGAGAAGACAAAACACCAAATAATAATCCAATCAGAGAGAAAATTGCGAGAATCAGCAAAGCCCTCAATAACCCCAAATTTAAACCGCCTTCATGCCACAATCTAAAGTCACAGACCCGATGATTACATTTAAAAGATGAGATCCAACTCTCTTTTGTCCCTAAGAAATTACCTCAGTCAGTGAGACACGAGCTGGAAATGAAAGGATGGCCGAGAATTCATGAAGAAGAGAGATGCCCAAGTAAGCTGGTGTTAACAGTTAAAATCTGACTAAGTCATTTGAAATCAAAGCAATTAGAAGAATTAAAGAAGGCTACCACATTTGAACAAAGGGAAGACTCCATGAAGAAGACTAGCAATTGAATCACATATACATCGACTCTGAGAGCCCCCAAGGTTATCTAAACAAATAATAATGGAAATGAAGGAAGAGGTAGGTACTGATACAGCAATAGTAGAATATTTTAACTCTCCACTCTTATCAGCAAATTGGTTAGACAGACTAAAAATCAATAAAGCTCTGAATATATCTGCATAATAGATTAAATTCATTTAACAGAGATTTACAGGTTACTCCTTCTAGCATCCAAAGCATACACATCCTCTTGGCAGCCCAAGGAACTTTCTCTAAAAGAGATGACATTTCCGACAAGACAAAACAAATATCACCAAATATAAAACAATAGAAACAGTTCCCTGTGTCCCATCAGATCGCAGTGGAACAAAAGTTCAGATTGATAACATGAGAATCGCAGGAAAAGCGTCTCTCACTGTGAGTGCTTCCGATAGATAGGCAGATCTCAGATATATACCCTAATGATATGCATCGAGGCCTTGGGTAAACAAGAACAAGCCAAACAGAAAAGGCAGTGAATAGAGAGAAATCGTGGAATTCACTGCAGGCATGAATGAAGTGAAGATTGAAAGAAGAGCCCCACAGGTAATCAAAGACCCAAATTAGTAAAAACTGTAGTGAAAGAAGGCTAATGAAAACCAGAGAACCAGTAAACAACAAACAAACAAAAGAAAATGATGAAAACGTTGCCATGGTCTACATGTCCTTAAGACTGAACTGGCTGAGTGGCAGGGAAGGAAGAAACAAGAGAAGCACACACAGAAAATCTGGGACTGGGTGATTGATGTGCACCCTGATGGAGATGCACCAGAAGCCCAGAAGCTCAGCAAGTTTATCAGAGTCAGCTGGATGAGCAGTTGGGTTAACTTACCTAGGTAGATAGTGGCTCTCTACATAGGAGCAGTCTATGGCTTTGGTCACCCAGGGGGAGGAAGTTGTGGTTGATGTTTTCTATGCATGATGGCGATGTCTGTACTGGGACCAGGGAAGGCCTTGCTATTCCCTGAGTCTGATTTAGGGAAGGCCTGGCCTCTCCCGAGTCTGAGGCACTAGTCACTGGGGCCTTTGACCTGGCCAAACTCATGTCATGAATGCTCCTTCAAACAGGGTACACTAGCTCCCCGCAAATCTTGTATGCCAAAAATGTCTAGAAAATCCCACCACTCCACCTGAGGACTTAGATACCAAAGAATCCTAGCCTGCTCACAGCTGCCTAACTGTGAACCAAATGCCATTTGCCTCCTTTTTCTTATGTTGTGAATATTTATCCACCACGGACTGCAAAAGTCTGTCTGTCAAAAGCAAATGAAAGCAATATAATATCAAAATCAAACTCACTGTTTTTGTACAGTTGGTACATAAGGATTTAAAAAATTCACTGTTTTTGTACAGTTGGTACATAAGGATTTAAAAAATAGTATCTTTTTTTTTTTATCATGAATGAGCGTTGTTCTAGCCCAGAAACAAGAAAAATGCGCGACAGAGCAAGGAAATGATTTGTTAATACAGCAGAGGTGGAATTAATTTGGTTTCCTCACTTCCAGTCTGTGTGCTGTCAAGCCTCCCATAATCCTTTGCACACAATCTGATGTTCCCCATTTTGTTTCCTATAATATACAACTTAGAAAAATGACCACGCCTCTGGGCTAACTAAGACTGGTCCTTCTTTTGAATTTGCCAACACGTTGTCACTAGGGAGAAGGACATGGGGTGAAGTGCTCAGTGTTCACGCAGCCTTTTGGCGTACCTACTAAAGTAGGCTGAGGACAGCGGGAAGTGGCTGTGATGACCTGGAGGATGAGCACATGGTTGCTACAGGCAACTGGATGGCAGGGGTTACACGAGTGTGTCCCCTTAAACGCTTCTTTCCTGTTTTATGGTGACTGTATTTAAAGTGGTATTTTTAATGACTTGCCAGGTGGTTCCAGGCTTAGCCTGGATTCCCCAGAAAACATTTCCTGAGGCAAAATGTAAATGATATTCCTTTATGAAGGTGTGCAGCAGCAATTCAAACAGGAGTGAAAGGAAAAAGATCTCGAGACTTGGAAAGGGAGCCCTGGAGGGTTTGCCCGCAAACAGGCTGTGACTGAGCCCCAGGAGCAGAGAGGTCTGGCTCATAGGGTCAGCTTTGAGAGGCACTAAGAAGTATGTATACACTCCCTGCTTCTTTCCATTGGCCAAAGGTCCATCCTAGGACCTCTGACTTGCTGGAATTTCGGATTTTGAGTAGGGCCATTTGGAGCAGGATGCATTTGATCCTCTCTCTCCCTCAGTTGAGGAGGCGGACAAGACAAAATGAGATGACAGTAAGGGATTGTTCCCCTTATAAGGGGTATCAGAAGTGTCGCAGAAGCAGGTGCTGGAGTAACCGCTGGTGACTGGCAAGGCCAAGAACTCCAGGGAGAGATGGAGTCAGGGATCTAGGGTGCTCACGGTTGACTGGTAATGTGTTTCTTCCAATCTTCGGACATCTAGACCAGCAGGGAGGAGGACAGCCCTGGGTTACTGCTGGCTTATTCTCACGTTCCTTTGATTGTCATAACCTTCGCAGAACCACGTTCCCAGCAGGCTCTATCACTACAGCTAGTGCACATGAACAGGAGACACGGGCTAATCACGAATGTGTGTCATAACGAAGGTGCCACTTTGCAGATAATTCTAGTGCACGCGAACAGGGCACAGAATACAAAGCACTCGTGAATGGACTTTTCCAGAAAATAATTAGGGAGCTATATTTATCTCTGAACCTTCCAGGTAATGCAGCCACAATACAGTCCTAAAAATAAAACTGCTGATTTTTAGAAAAGAAAAAGTATTTAAGATTAATGCACAGAAATAGGCCGGCTTGAGAGTGAAAGTCTAGATTTAGATATTTACTGACATAAATCTTGATCATCAAAAAAGAAAAGAGAAAGAAAAAACTGAGTCAATACTGGAAAGTGGTTATGTTATTAAGCACTCGTCACAGCCTGGACGCCTGAACCAGCCTACAGAAACTAGAAGCTGACTCGATCTGTGGTTTTCCCGCTTGACTGTACTAGGGTGGTGGAGCCATCTTCCTCAGTGTTCGGAGCCCAGGTACCAGGAAACTTTATTGATGATTATCAGTCACTATAGATAAACAGGAAACCTGTGGCGACAGGCGAGTAGGCACCCTTGGGTGTACTGTGGTGATACATATGGCGGGTTAGGCAGCAATGGGTGTATTCTATTGCCATACAGGTGGAATGGGCACTAGCGGATATACAGTGGTTACACACAAAAAAAAATCAGGGTACACCAGTTCTTGTTTTTGACCAATATTCGAGCAGTTATCTAATGACCACCAAAGGATGGTAGCCAGGCACAAGGAAAACAAAGACCTTTACCTTAAAATACGTGTGGATGTTTCTGGTGTGTACCAGAAAAGGCTCGTTACTTCCCACCATTATAGTGAGAGGCCAAGGTCTCTTAAGTCTTGTTTGGACTGCAGTTTATCTACGAGATTTCACTTAACAGTTAATTATGAATGCTTTTATGTGAGCAGGAAAGATTCAGTGCTCACATGGTTGGGCAGGAGACACGGGGAGAGGCGCAGCTTAAGGAGCCTGTTTTACATAGTCATATTTGATAAATAGATAATCGGGCCGCCATGCAAGGGGCTGGAGGATGGGTCAGGCGGGAAAGCCCGGGGGTGGGAGTAGGGGCGGAGGGAGGCGGGGATCCCCACGTCGCCGTTGGTTCCTAGCTCAGTGACGGTGGAGTGGAGCAGATCCCACTCAGGTTAGGCTAGAGGAGCAACGCCATGTGCTCCGGGCTCCAGGCCCTGCTGCTGTCAATCTGGCTTTCCTGGACACTGGGGATCCGCGGATCTGAGCCCAGCAGGTGAGAATGGGGCTTCTTCACAGCTCTGCCGCAAGGCTCCTGACCAGGCAGCTCGCCGAGCCTCTGTGCAGCGCCCAGTGGGTCTCCGACAGAGCAGAGCGAGGTTGGAAGTGGAGGGTGGATAGGGCTGGGGGGGGGGGGGGGGGATGCGGAGCATTTCCCACGCCTCTGCGGCCCTCCCGTTGCATCTCAGGGTACCATCCCTCCCTCGTCCGGCTGTAGGGAGCTCAGAGGAGCTGGCTCGGTGGCCCATCCCCCGCCTTGCCAGGCGCCACGCAGTCGTGGCCTTCGCCTGCAGTGGCCAGAGCGGATCTGCGGCCGCATGCCGGCCCCTCCCCGCACATCCCGAGCGGCCGCTACCGCGGCTGGTGAGGGTGCCGGGAGCCCCGCCGTGACCGCGGACTCGTAGGGGGCGGGTGCTGCTCTTGGCCGGCTCCGCCCCCGCCTCCGCCCGCCCAGCGCTCCCGCGCCGGGGCTCCTCCCTCCCGGCCCGCTCCTCCCCCTGCTCTCCTCCTCCCCCTCCCCCTCCGCCTCCTCCGCTCCGGGCCAGCGCGGCGGCGGTGGTGGCAGCAGCAGCAGCAGCCCCGGCTGCGGGTCGCGACGGCGGCGGGGCGCCCCCTCCCCCGTGCCGGGGCGCGGCGAAGGGATGTGGGGCTTTGCGGGAGGAAGGCTTTTCGGCATCTTCTCGGCCCCGGTGCTGGTGGCAGTGGTTTGCTGCGCCCAGAGGTAGGGTCGCTTATGGGTTGACGGGAAGCGGGCCGGGCGCGGGCTGGCGCGCTGTGTGCGCGCCGGGCGCTGGCGGGCGAGCCGATGCCTGACCCTGTTCTCTGTGCCCCGTGCCCCTCTTTCAGCGTCAACGACCCCGGGAACATGTCCTTTGTGAAGGAGACCGTCGACAAGCTGTTGAAAGGCTACGACATTCGTCTGAGACCCGACTTCGGGGGTAAGTGGGATGCGCGCGGCCGCTGCGGGAAGCGCGATCCTCCGTGTTGGCGGCCTGGGTGGAGTGGGAGGCGGGGGCGGCCTCTGAGGAGCTGCAGCGGGGTGGGGTGGGTGGTCCTTTGCGAGCCGCCCCATCCCCAGAGCCACCCGTACCCCCCTGCTGAAGCCTGGCTGATCACGGTGTGCTGCGCTTCCTGCAGGTCCCCCAGTCTGCGTGGGGATGAACATCGACATCGCCAGCATCGACATGGTTTCTGAAGTCAACATGGTGAGTGCCTGCGCTTCCCCAAGCTGTCCCTGGCCCTACCCGGCCGCTTGGGCCCTTCTATGTCTCTCGTGCTGGGCTGGAGGCCTCAGCCGGCCTGGGCTTCCTGGTCCTCAAGGGAAGCCGCGCGCTCTGGCGCCAGGCTCTTGCCCGCCCCGCTCCCTGCACGCTCGTGGGCGCCAGGCCTGTCGCGGGGTCCTAGGATGGCCCAGAGTTCCGGTCCTCAGCGCCGCCCGAGGCAGACAGCTTCTCAGGAGGGCTGTCACCTGGTGGCGAGGCTTCCCGAGCGCTGTCTCCCCTTCCTTAGCAACAGGCGCTGAAGACTGTGAAGGGAGACTGGGTGTGGGGGCGGCTTGCATCCCTAGGTGAAAGGTACTTAGGATTTCCTTTGTTGTCATTTGGAAAGAGCTGCTGACTGCGGGAGAGAAGAGCAAGTGTCTGTAGTCTGTGTCTAGGGGCTTCTCGGGTGGGTGTCCCAGGTCTCTGCTGCTTGAGGCCCGGTTTTCTCCGCCGGGCGCTGTCCTAGGTGCTGACGGAGCCCTGCCCTGCGCTCTTGGCTTCCCCTCCTTGCCAGGACTCTGGAAGGTTTGGCATTCCAGGGTCAGGCTTAAAGCCTATGCTGACAAGATCCAATATTCTGAACTGTAGGAAGAGGAGGTCAGTATCCCCAGGTGCGGAGACGGTACCCCCCTTCTACATTAATGCACCAAGAAATAAGAAGCTAAGTGATGTCGTGAACTGAGGAAACATGTTTGTTGATTTGTCTGTCTAGTGGCCCTGTAGAAATCCTAAGAACTTGTGTTTGAACACAATATTTTTTGGAAGCTATCAGTTGGCAACTTTTCTTCTGAACATACCATGTTGAGACTATGAGTGGGTATGGTTTCCTTATTAACGTGTTGTACATTGGAATCACATGGGCAAACTTGCTTTTAATTCATACACGCTAGTGCCTTGCTCCAAGGAGTTCTGGCAGGGCTGGGGTCAAGTGGAGTCTCGGGGTATTCACTCATAAGAACCGTGCTTCAAATTATTTTGAAACAGGTGTTTTGTAACTAGTCTGTGAAGAAATGTAGTAGCAAACTATAGGGGCAATCTTGCAGAAGATATATGTTTAAATATACGTTAATTGGGGGATTGGAGGGAAAATAGCCTACTAAATTTATTTTTATAATTAAAAAATTAAAGTAATGGCATGAGGTACTTGTAATTCAGGAGCACGGTGCACATCTGCCTAACTAACATTCACAAGTCCATACTCTGATCCACAGCACTCGTCTCCAGTGCCATCAAAAGGAAAGAGAAGTAACAGTGTTTCTGTTTGGTTTTTCCATTCATTTCCTCCAAAGTACAGCACTCAGGACATCTTTGTATTCAGGTAGCGCAACATGAAATACAGGAGGGACGTGACTTTAGTGCACACTGGAAAATAAACGTTATGCACTTATTCCTATCTTTACAATATTCCTTGTCCAGAAGCAATGTTTTTATGACCTTATGGTATCAAGTTTCTATATTCAAAATCTGCTGTCTGAAAAATTTCAGTTGGTAATGTCAAGATCTTGAGAAAGCTAGCATGAATGTTTAGTGTGTCACTATGTCAAACATCATTGTATTGGATGTCAGATAGGAGCAGACTGTGTTGAATGGTGCTTTCAGAAGTCTACACAGCAAAACATGGTCAGAAGAATGAGGGACAGTGGTAGTGCAGACCCTGCACAGTGTATGACTTTGTTACTCAGCTCTTGTGATGTTATGCGCACAGTTGGTATGCCTCATAATGTCACTTACTTGTCTTGGTTCATGGTCTTTGAGTAGAGGTGTTCTTGATTTCCCTAGACCTTTGACAGATAGGTTAACAGTACAGAGCACAGAATATCACTGTTTTAAACTGTGCACAGCATAGCCACGGTATATTCTTTTATGCCTCCTCAGTTTGCTTTCTCACGGACGTACTTTTTCTGACTTCAGAGACCTAACTTTATTTTGAACATAAGTTAGGGCTTTTGGACAGATGTGATTGACAGCAGTGTGAAGTGTCTTCTTCCTCAAAGAAGCAGATTAGTCAACATTGTACTGCAGAACACACATGTACATAGGAATTATGACACATGCCTATTATTAAAATAACCTCATATGTAGCAATGGTTATTATTTTAGGAGTCACACTTGGCAGGGGACAACAGATAATATGTATTTTTAAGGCTTGAGACACCACACAGTCATTTTTTTTTAAGTAATTCATTCAGTTAAGAGCTTGCGTGGTCACTGCACAAAACCAAGTACTGCAAATTATGAATGAAGAAATAATTGCCAAACAATAAGTAGTCTAGCTTTAAGAAGGTTGTCACTATTGGAAGTCGCAATGGTTCTCACAAAATCTGTGACATGGTAAGTCCCACTAGAGTAGATGACCAGCTTGCCGAGTAAGGAGAGGGAGCAGAGAGAGGAGGGAATAGTAGCTGGAGAGGGATATTTTTGAGGAGGAAAGCTTCATGAAAGAATGTAGAATAAAACTGAATGTGGGCATGGATTCTGGCTGCTATTAGCAGTAAAAGACCGGGTTGCAAAGGTAAAAAAGGCCGTGTGAGCAGGATCAGAGTTGAGTGTCTCTCCAGAGACGTGAAACTCAATGCAGAAGACACACGAGTCGCCCAGGCTCTCCTCCATGATACCAGAGATTCCACAAAGGAATCCGTGGAAGTTTGTAAACTGGCAAGATTTGAGATGTGTTGTAAAGAGGATATTTTGTTAATAGTTTAAATTCAGACAACGCAAAATGGGAAGGAGTAAGGATGGCAGAATTAAAAATATTAGTGATAACGGTTATAAAAAGTCATGTGTTTATTGTAAATTTTCCTGAAGTTCCTACCCATATAGATCCATGCGTACACACATATGTTACAGATCACGTACATATAAACACACATAAACATATATACCTAAACATACGCATAGACACACGTGCACACAGTCACATGTACACACACATAGACACACACACAAACATTTGTTTACAGTGCTCGGAAGCAGGCTTAAGACCGTGTGCCTGATCGGCGTGCACTATAGCAGCGAGCTGCCGTGGCTGGCAAGCTCATAGACGTAGTTCTAAGAACATACGTCTAGTGAATTAGAAGCCTTCACACATACTTTGAGTGAGATTGTTTAGAAACACATATGTAGCTAGGTGGGAGAGATGAAAATGTGCTTGCATATGGGTTTAGGAGTGTTGGAGGCCATCGCTGCACAGCGGCAATGCTGTGCCCGTCTCCTGAAGCAACTGTAACGCGCTGTCTGTACCTGCTGGAAGATGTGAAGATGATGCCCCCAAGGAGCATCTGGGTTCAGATAAACAAATGTGCAAATTATGTGCATAGGTGTGCTAGCTGGCCACTCTTTTTTGGAGTTTTGTGCAAGTAGTTAGGAATAGATTTGGGTACTTTCATACACAGCATTTGTTTCTGTCATAGCCTGATATATGGATACTGGAGAAATTCTACTTTTTTTTTTTTTTGTCTTCCAGTTTTTCTTTCCCACATCTTTTTATTCGATTTCCCCGACAGTGATCAGTCAACATCATTTTCTTTGATATAACTTGTCTCCTTTCTCTTATTGCCTACTTTAAAATTTCAAATATCCTGGAAATTATGAGTGTGGATGTAATTACTGAGATTTAGTATATGGATTTCTGAGAGATTTCTATGTGTGGGGATATTATCTACCTAAAATTATCATGTTTATGTTGCGTTTTTGGTGCTTAGCGGTGGTTTTTGTGTGTGAATCATATTGACTAGATAGAAGGACAGATGAACGAAGATAGGACATGCTGAAAAATAAAAAAACACTGGAATATGTTTAAATGAGACTTTGATTTATTAAAACAGGTATTGATTTGTTTGTTCATTAGCGTAAACTGCACATCTTCCTTTTTCACTGAAAAGTATTAGGGGCATAAGGTAAGACCTGGAGTCTAGCACTTCTAGGACAATGTCTACAATTTAATTATTCCATCATCATTAATTCAATCCTAAGGAAATATAGCTGCAAGACCATTTTTTTCCTGGTTTCATGCACATATGAAACCTCACCCCTGTGTCTTGTCCTCATTGCCGTTAGGAAGCATCCACGGGCACAGCTTTAGTTGGGGCTTCATTGCTGTGATAAACACAGTCGGCAAAATTAACATAAAGAGGAAAGGGTTTATTCCAGCTTACATGTCCTAGGTCACATGCTATTCCTGCAGGAAGTGAGCTCAGAAACTCAAGGAAGAAACCTGGAGGCAGGAGTCGATGCAGAAGCCATCGAGGGCTGCTGCTTACTGGTGTGTTCTCTACGGCTTACTCAGCTTTCTTTCCCATTGAACTGAACCCAAAAACCCAAGGGTGCCCACACCCCAGCCCCACAGTGAGTTGGATCCTCTCTTATCAGCCATTAATCAAGGAAATTCGCCACAGGCTTGCATGCCGGCCAATACCATGGGGACATTTTCTCCATTAAAATTTGTTCTTCCCAGTTGACCCTAGCTTTTGTCAAGTTGACAAAAAGAACTAGTACACAAAGTGCTTATTGTCACAGTTCTAGCTCTCCGGTGTTAATATGCCATGGGCTATATTTTTTCCCAATACATCCACTTATATACATCTAGGTGTAAACACAATATAGTGCAGAAGAACACAGTCTGAGTACATTTCAGGAAGTCTTTTGGAGCCTTTTAACTACTAAATAGACGCATTCTTATTCATGCACAAAGCAGGTGCAAAGCATTAGGTGAAGGTATTTACGCAAAACAACACGGGCACAAACTAACATTCACATGCAGTGTTCACACACTCACACATGTTCATATACATATGTTCACATAGTATATTCACCCATGCTAATAAGCACATACACACATAACCTATACTTAGTTCATTTTTCTTGGCTCTTTTATCCCCACCAGATGAGAGAAGAAAGGCAGAGAGATTCTGGCTAGGGTAAGCTAGGATCAAAGGTTTGGGGGA